GAAGCGCCTCCGCGAGCTACCACCTGGATCCCCGGCCCGGCCGCGCGGCCTGACGTCACAAAGCCGTCCCGCGCCTGCGCAGGCAGCACACTCCACCCCACACCCCGCCTCGCAGACCGCTTTTCTTGCAAGTGAGGTGCGCGTGCGTGGGAGAATGGAGTTGTTGTGTTGCGTCCTGGCGCCCTCTAATGGTGAAGCTGAGGACGACACTAGAGGGAAAGTCGGGCGTGGCGGCGTAAGCCTGTTAATATTCCAGCACGCAGGAGTTTGAGGAAGGACCTGGGTTACCTGACAAGACTCTGTCTCAAGGAAAAAAAAAAAAAAGAAAGAAAGAAAGAAAGAAAGCAAAAGAAAAGTGGGGCTCAAGAGATGACACAGCGGTCAAGAGAGCTTGCTGCTCCTCCAGAGGACCACCCATATTAGGTGGATCACAACCACATATAACTCTGGCTTCAAGGGATCCGATGCCTTCTGGCCTTCGTGGGCATCTGCACTCACTGGCACATACATATACACAGACATGCTCATTCACATAAACATGAATAAATAAATCCTTAAAGAACAAGAAAGAGATGAACCATCGTCATGGTCAACAGGTACTTTTATACCACATATTCTTTTTTTTTTTTAATAGTAAACGCAAAGAGTTGTTTTATTTTCAAATTGGATGCAGTCGAAAGAATTATTTTTTTCTCTTTTTTCAAATTTAAATTAGAAACAAGCTTGTTTTACATATCAATCCCAGTTCCCTCTCCCTCTCCTCCTCCCCTGCTCTCCACTAACCCCCTACCCCATCCCCTTTCTGCTCCCCAGGGAAGGTGAGGTCTTCCATGGGAGATCTTCAAAGTCTGTCCTATTTGGAGCAAGGGCCTAGGCCCTCCCTCATGTGTCTATGCTGAGAGAGTATCCTTCTCTGTGGAATGGGCTCCCAAAGTCCATTCGTATACTAGGGATAAATATTGATCCACTGCCAGAGGCCCCATAGATTGCCCAGGCCTCCTAACTGACACCCACATTCAGGGGGTCTGGGTCAGTCCCATGCTGGTTTTCCAGCTAACAGTCTGGGGTCCAAGAGCTCCCTCTTGTTCAGGTCAGCTGTTTCTGTGGATTTCACCAGCCAGGTCTTGACCCCTTTGCTCATCATTCCTTCCTCTCTGCAACTGGATTCCAGAGTTCAGCTCAGTGTTTAGCTGTAGGTGTCTGCTTCTGCTTCCATCAGCTACTGGATGAAGGCTTGGGGATGACATATAAAGTAGTCATCAATCTCATTGTCGGGGAAGGGCATTTAAAGTAGTCTCTCCACTATTGCTTAGATTGTTAGTTGGTGTCATCTTTGTAGATCTCTGGATATTTCCCTACTGCCAGATTTCTCTTTAAGCCTATAATGGCTCTCTCTATTATGGTATCGCTTATCTTGCTCTCCTCTATTCTTCCCCCAATTCAAACTTCCTACTCTCTCATGTCCTCCTCTCCCCTCCTCCTCTTCTCCTTCTCCTAACTCCCCCTCTCCTCCCCCTATGCTCCCAATTTGCTCAGAAGATCTTATCCCTTTCCCCTTCTCCCGGGAACCATGTATGTCTCTCTTAGGGTTCTCCTTGTTTCCTAGCTTCTCTGGTGGTGTGGATTGTAGGCTGTATACCACATATTCTTAAAAAACAGTTGCAGTGAGGCCAGCAAAGTGGTAAAGCAGGTAAAGTCCCCTTCCACTACTACTGAGGGCATGAGTTTGATTCCTGGGGCCCACATGGTGGGAAGGCACAACTGACCCCAGCGAGTTGTTCTCTATGCTGGTTACTTTTTTGTTAACTTTATACAAACTAGAATTATCCTGGAATAGGGAACCTCAGTTGAGAAAGAAAATGAGAACCCTGAGCAGGTGGTCCTGGGTTGTAAAAGCCAGTAAGTGATGGCCATCTGTATTTGCTAATTCAGTTCCTGCCTCCAGTTCCTGTACTGCCAGAGTGCCTGCCTTGGCTTCCCTCAAGAGACTGTTTCGGGGCTGTATAAAGCAAATAAATTCTTTCCTCCCCATGTTGCTTTTGAAAAGTGTGTATTACAGTAATAGATAGCATGCTAATATATACCCTCCCACTTCCCCAGCCTGCTGTGTAATATTCATGTGCTTGTGTGTGTGTGTGTGTGTGTGTGTGTGTGTGTGTGTGCACTCGCGCGCGCGTGCGTGCAAAACAAAATGTGACTTTACATTTTCCTAATGGTTACAGTGGGAGCTAGAGAGATGGCTCAGCAGTTAAGAGGGCTTACTGCTCTATCAGAGGACCAGAGTTCAGATTGCAGCAACCATGTCAGGCAGCTCACACTTAAAACTTCATGGAATCAGATGCCCACTTCTGGCCTCCATGGGCACCCACATGTACACGCATATTTTTAAAAAATGGTTACAATGGTAAATTTCCTATCATGTATATTTACCATAATTTTCAAAAGAAAGAAAAAAAGCCATTTGTTGGCTAATAAGTATAGTGTTCCTTGTGAATTGCCTGCCGTCCCAGCCATTCTTGTTTAATGTTCAATTATGGATACTTTAAATTTTTATTAATTTGTTTATTATTTTATATGTGTGAATGTTTTGCCTGCATGCACCATTTTGTTTGCATGTGTGTCTGTGTACCGTGTGTGTGCCCAGTGCCTACAAAGGCCAGAAGAGGGCGTCAGATCCCCTGGACCTGGAGTTACAGTCTGTGAGCTTCCAAGTGGGTGCTGGGAATCCAACCTGGATTCTCTGGAAGAGCAACCAGTGCTCTTTGCACCGAACCATCTCTCCAGCCCATGACCTACTTTAACAACTGCAGTACTACCAGGCATGTGCCCTCAATCCCAGCACTCAGGAAGCAGAGGCAGGCAGATCTCTGTGAGTTTGAGACCAGCCTGGTCTACAGAGCAGGTTCCAGAACAGCCAGAACTACACAGTGAGACCCTGCCTCAGAAAACAAATCAAAATAATTATAACACTAAATTAAAGCCTCCAACGTAAAATATACATTGACTTTCAAGAATTCTAGTATTCTGGAATATAGGGTGTTTGATATAAATCCTTTTTTTCTGGATTTGTTCCTTTTGAGACAGGATCTTTTTAAAAAAAAAAAAAGTTGTTTTCTTCTTTTCATGTGTAAGTGCGAAAGGTGGGTAGGCGATCTCATGGGTTGGGCCCTTGTGGCAAATAACCCAAGGTTGATCTTGGGTATCCTCCTCAGTGACTCTTCCAGTTTATTCTGTGAAGGAGCATCTTCGGTGACACCAGGGCTCACAGGTACTGCTAGTCTAGCTAGCCAGCTTGCTCTGGGGAATCTCCTGTCTCAGCCTTCTGAGACTGGAAGTTATTCTGTTGCCATGCCCACCCAGCGTTTATTCAGCTTCAGGGTATCCTGACTCTAGTCCTCACACTTGGCTAGCAAACACTCTCTCTACTGAGCCATCTCTCCATGGGGAAAAAGCTTATAGGCTGAGAGAGAAACACAAGAGGGAGAAGGCTGGGGGGTGTGGCTCAGTTGAGAGAGCGCTTGCCTGGCACGTATGAAGCCCAGGATTCTGGGATTCTGTCCCCAGCACCACATTAACTGAGCAGGAAGATCAGAAATTCAAGGTCATCCTTAGCTACATAGTAAGTTTAAAGATAGCCTGTGTTATATGAGGCCTTGTCGGGGAGGGGGGAGAGGGAAAGAGGGAGGGAGGGAGAGAGGAGAGAGAGAGAGAGAGAGAGAGAGAGAGAGAGAGAGAGAGAGAGAGAGAGAATTATAAATGTCAGTATGAAAAGTACTTTGTACAGGCACAAAGTGTGACAAGAAGGGGCTAGGAGGGAAGCTTTATTAATAACTGATCAACAGCCCGTCTGCTTCACTTACACCACTCCCTGCTGTTCATGGAGCTATGCCTCAGCAGTGAGCCAGCCCAGAGAAACCGGTTTCCATTTTCAGCAAGTTCTCCACTCCCCTGACCTGCTTCCAGAAAGAGGATTAGGATGCTCATCCCACCCCACCCTGGCCCACCTCTAGGTATTTGAGAGAAATGAATGAGATCAGGTTTGCAGCACAGGCACAGTTCCAAGCACACAGAAGGCACCCAGAAAACAGTAACTATTTTTATACCCAGAGCCCTCAAGTTCTTAGATTGTAAATTCGGTGGGCTTATGAGCTCAGTGTGTGGTCAATAATGGTTAATGATTAGTTGTTCATAAAGTTACTTTCCTTGGGACCATGAAATTGCTCATCAGGTAAAGACACTTGCAGCCAAGCCCAATGACCTGAGTTCAGGACTCGAGAGGTAGAAGAAGAGAACTGAGTCGTAAGCTGTCCTCTGACCTCCACATGCTCATCATGCGTGCGCGCGCGCACACACACTAATTGTTAAATAAAATAATTTTCCTTGACAGCCTAGCTTTAGTGACGCAGTGGAGTCAATCCCAAATACTGCAGAAAACAAAACAACAACAAAAACATATTTGCTTCTTTTCATAATATTTATACCTGTATGAAACTATTTTTATTACTTTTTTGGTGTATGTGTGTGGTGTATGTATTATGTGTGTGTTGGGGGAGGAAGGGAGTGTGTGTGCCTGTGCATGGAGGCCAAAGTTTAATGTCTGGGGTCTTCCTCAGTTACTTTCCACCTTAGTTTTTGAGTCAGAGTATCTCACTGCACCTGGAACTCACCAATTGACCATGCCATCTGGCCAAAGGGCTCCAGTAATGGCCTCTGTAATTCAGGGCTGGGATTACAAAAGTATGTGACCATGACTAGTCTTTTTTTTAATAGGTTTATTTTATTATCTTATTATATGAATGTGTACTGGTGCCCTTTATGGTCAGAAGAGAAATTCAGGTCCCACAGGATTGGAGTTACGTGGTTGTGAGCCCCCATGTGGGTTCTAGGAATAGAACCTGGGTC